TAGATAATTCCTTGTGTTCCAGTTTACTTTAGACCTATTGCCTTTTGAAAGGTGAAAGAATTGTAATATTATGCAAGATTATGAGTAATTCCTTCAGGCATTCTCTGTTTTTTCCTGTTCTGTGCAATATTGTGCTAGCATGAATTCAAACTACAGGCAAATTCTATTCTAGACTCTATTTTCTAGTAAGCTTAAATCAAAATGCTTGCATGAGACGTTGCTAGAAATCTAGAGCAGAATGTAAGTTTGAAATAAGTTTCAGTCTTGCCCTTATTCCATTTTAGAATAATATTAAAATGCTTATATTGCAGCCTAAATATGGTGGAATGATTATAGACATTGTGTCAAGAGATATAAGGACGCCTGAACAGCAATCAGATGCTTTGAAAGCCGTCAAGGACACTGTGATATACATTGTGCTGATAGTTGTAGTAGGGTATTCCCTTTCCTTGTCCTTTGTTCATGTCGTTCCAATTATAATTCTGTTTATAGTTGTCCCATGTTTAAATATTTGGGTTTTTCACTTTGTGAGACATTTACACCCAGTAGTGACCAAATGGGTTTATCTGATTTTACAATAATTTGGAAAGAAAGCATTTCTTTTTCTTATAGCATTTGCATGTGCTCCTTCATGTCTCAATAGAAACAGATCAAGAGCATTTCCTTATCTTTACATTGTTTTGAGATTTTAAATGATGTTTCCATATGACCAACTTGTCTGTTGAAATGCTTCAACAAACACAAGCCACGGTCCAGTCATAGTTTATCTTAAGAACAGCATCAATTTATCTGATCTCTTCTTCATGTTTTTTGATTACTGTAATTTTGATGTTGATCATATTACCAATTTCCTGCTTGAACCTCAATTATTTTGATATTTCTAGAATGTTTGCTCAACTAGTAAGCATCTAGATAGCAGGTAATTCTAGAGGGCTGTCATATCTTGTATCATGTCTAATGATAATTCCATGCTCTTGTACCACACTTCACCCAGTCAGTAAGGTGTGCGAAATACTTTCTAGATACTTTTAGATGTACCTGAAACATATGTTGAACCTCAAGATCTTAAGTCAAGAATTAGTTTTTGAATCAAAATACAGAAAGAGAATGCCTCATAAGTTGTAGCTCTTTTAAATTAAGTGGATTAATCCCATAGTACATTTTTCCCCTTGTCTATTTTAGATCTTTGTGCACAACACTTCGAGCGTGGTTGTTTTCTTCTGCCAGTGAACGGGTTGTAGCTCGCCTGAGGAAAGACTTATTCAGTCACCTTATTCAACAGGTCAGGCCAAATAAATCAGAAACTAGTTGTAAGATATGCCAAGTTAATGATTAGTACAGCTAATTTAAAATTCATGGTTCATGTATGCTTGACTTAAGTTTCATCATGCGGCACAGTCTAAGACTGAAGTTTTGATGGTTCAACAGGAAATAGCCTTTTTTGATGTTACTCGAACAGGTGAACTCCTCAGCAGGCTATCTGAGGACACCCAGATCATTAAAAATGCAGCAACAACCAATCTTTCAGAGGCACTCCGGAATCTAACGACTGCCTTTATTGGTGTTGGCTTCATGTTTTCATCATCGTGGAAATTAACACGTTTGTCGTTTCACTTGTTCAAGAATTTTTGATTAATGCCCTTCTATCAAATGAATGTGGCACTAACAGTAACTTTTATTCCTATTTAGTGCTAGCCTTGGCAGTAGTACCAGTATTTTCTGTTGCTGTACGAAAATTTGGGCGGTATCTCAAAGAACTTTCACACGCAACCCAAGCTGCAGCTGCAGTAGCTGCCTCAATTGCTGAGGTTTGTATGAAATATACTCCTATGTGATTTGCTCTGGGATAGCCCTGCATGGATCATATGCAATTTACAATATGAATCTTTTGACTATATCAACTAAATTTTTTGAATATTCCACATATTTTGAAGCCTACAATATATTGTAGATAGTTAAAATGTTATTATTATTATTATTATTATTATTATTATAAACAAGAATGAGCCTTTTGCAATTGCACATCCAATTTCATGAGGGAAAGGAAAAACAGATACATTTGACCTCACCCTAAAAAGCAGGAAACACCTTCTCTGTTATATACCCAACTTCGTTTTATGCTTACTTGTTTGCCAGAAGTTTCACTATTAACGGAGTGCTAGAGATTCACCAATTTGGAATAATCATGTTTGAACTGATGTCCAAATTAAAAAATAGAAAAACTTTCAGGACATAATGCATTCCAAAGTAGCCGTATTATTATATTAGAAGCTAAAATGTACAATTTTCTGAACGAAAGTAGACAAAAAAGCTGTTCCATATTAGTCATTAATCATTCATCCATTTGTACTTTAAAGGTGAAAAGCCGTTGTGAAGTGATGCCTAAACTCCTGCCTTATCTTGTATTGTTGAGAAATTTTGAATGCCATAAACAGGCTGGAAAGCGCATTAAGTTCATTTTCCATTATTTGATATCTTATTCTTCATGAGCTACTTTGATGTTTAGGAATCTTTTGGAGCCATTCGAACAGTTAGATCATTTGCTCAGGAAAGTTATGCAATATCAAATTACTCTGAAAAAGTTGACGAGACACTGAATCTTGGACTAAAACAAGCTGTGAGTGCCAGGAGGCTAACCCTCACTCTCTCTCTCTCTCTCTCTCTCTCTCTCTCTCTCTTTCTCTCACACACACACACACACACACACATACAAGCACTGCAATTCAGAAAATAAACTTGCAAAATTTGTACTTTTCTCTTCAACAGAAAGTAGTTGGCCTATTCTTTGGAGGACTAAATGCTGCATCCACATTGTCTGTTATAATAGTGGTGATTTATGGTGCCTACTTGACAATTATGGGATTTATGACTGCGGGTTCCCTTACATCCTTCATCCTTTATAGTCTCACAGGTATCTCCTCAATGTTCGCAGCTTGCTGTATTTTCAAGTTTTGCCTAGTTTCTGTTCCATCTTTGATCTCAATAAAGGCACAGCAACTACCTCAAACTTAGTAGAAATTTAGTGAACTCTCTGTAAAAGTCTTCAAATGTGATAGATCTTTATCCCTAGTTATAAAACATAAAAAGTGTCCTTGGTCGAAAAGATGAAAACATATATTGTTGGTCAAAACCTTGGTAAGTGGCTATTCTTGTTTAATGACTTTTATTTTCTGTGACTTTTCCTCCTCATTCTACTTCTGACGGTTAAATTATTTCAACTGATGATTGTTGGTTTGTGATCAATAATATTCTAAGCTTAACCTATTCTGTAGTTTATAAAAGGACTATTTTCACTGTGGAATCTTTTATCTCTCTCTGCCTGCAGTTGGATCCGCAGTTTCCTCTTTATCAGGATTATATACAACTACCATGAAAGCTGCAGGGGCAAGTAGGAGGGTTTTCCAGCTCTTAGATCGTGTCTCAAGCATGCCAAAATCAGGAGACAAGCGCCCAGAGGGGTTAGTCATATTACAATATCCTTGAAAAAGTCCCTTAATCTGATTCCAGGAGCAAGACAAAGTTTTGTAGCATTGTTGAAATCAAGCATACAACAACCTCATATTCCATCTTTGTCAAGACACTGATCACATTAATCCATGATGTTATATTGGCAATGGCAGAAATCCAGATGGAGATGTAGAATTAAATGATGTCTGGTTTGCTTATCCTTCTCGACCAAGTCATATGGTACTTAAGGTAATGGTTTCTATGTTACGCATATATGTGAATTTAAACATGTTACCATTTCAAGCTAAAACATATTCTGCCACTAAACTAATCCCTGTTGTGCACCAATAAGAATGAACATTTAGAACATGGTGATGGATTTGGTTTAGTGGGTCCTTCCTTTTAGGATTTGCAGTGTGATAAAATTGAAGAGGATCGACATTAAAACATTGGGGAAATGAAAAATAGATCTTTTATATTTAAGTCTTATCCGCCTGCAAATTATTAAGAATTTGCAATTTTACCAGTACATAATTGGCATAGCTCAACCCAAAGGATGGTATTTATTTAACCCTACCTGTAAACAATTGACTATAGAGTGAACATTTGTTTTATGGGAGTTTTATAATTTTTGAACTTCATCATTTAAATCTGATGACACTGTTTTAATTGCAGGGAATAACGTTAAAATTGAAACCTGGTTCAAAAGTTGCCCTTGTTGGACCAAGTGGTGGTGGAAAAGTAACATTATCATCCCTTTCCCTCTTTTTCCCATTTTTCTCCTTGTGTTCAACAGTTGATGTCATTTTCTCCATCCTGTAATACCTATACTAATAAATAAAGCTAAATTTCCAATCTGTTGCAGACCACAATAGCAAACTTAATTGAGAGGTTCTACGACCCTCTGAAGGGAAAGATTTTGTTAAATGGGGTTCCTTTAGTGGAAATATCACATGAATATCTGCACAGAAAGGTAGTCCTCTGGTTTTTATTTTTTTAATATCTATCAAGTATGTGCATGGCCTTCATAAAAATTCTTGTCAAGTTCATAACAGCATACGGACCAGCATGACGTTATTTCAAAAGTTGCATCATCAGGTAAAGGAAAGAAAAGTCATTTCAAAATCTGACCATCTCCAGAAACCATTATTGGAAGAAACTCACCAATTGTTATCCATGAGAGCTTGTGATGTGCAATGTCCACCCTAATTGACTCCTGGACTAATCACGGAGGCACTTTGTTGGTTAGGATATTCAGGCCTTTCTCATAATATGACAGCAATGCATCTGTTTATCAACTTAAGTTATATCTTGCCACCAACACTGCAACTTTTGTGATCTTGAACTGGAAACAATGAGTCAAAGCATGACATATTTTAAGCATTTTACCAACCTTTCTAGATGGAAAGGAATTTTGGAAAAATTATATAAAGTGTATCATTTCACCCATTTGGAATCATCTTGTAGATACTATATAAACGAGGTATTGTAAGCTTTCACCTTTCTTTTTCTCCATCTTCTTCCACAATTACATTATCTGGTTTTCACAAGGATTTGGTCATTTGGATGTCTGAGATTTCTTAAAGACCCTTACTCTCCTTGTCTTTCTGGAATACAGGTAAGTATAGTCAGCCAGGAACCTGTGCTTTTCAATTGTTCTATAGAGGAGAACATTGCCTATGGTTTCAATGGCAAAGCCAGCAGTGCTGAAATAGAATCAGTAGCTGTGAGTTATGACCATCTTCTAACTTCTTCCCCTTCTACCAACATCAATAAGACATCTTTACAGTTTACAGTTTCTCTATGCATGTATGCTGATAAAGTAAAATGCTGCAGAAAATGGCTAATGCTCATGATTTCATAGAAAAATTTCCTGAAAAGTATCAAACAGTTGTTGGAGAACGTGGTTTGAGACTCTCGGGAGGCCAGAAACAAAGAGTAGCAATTGCAAGAGCACTATTAATGAATCCAAAAGTTTTGCTGTTGGATGAAGCCACAAGTGCTCTGGATGCTGAGAGTGAATACCTTGTTCAGGTGAGACTGAATTTGCATCTCTCTCCTCTCTATTCTGTCTTCTTTTGCTCAGAAAAATTACTGTTGTTTGCCTTGTAAATGACATGTTCAACAGTAATTTTCAAATTTCCTGTAAATTCAAAAGATTTGTATAGATTGTTTATCTGTCTATTTAATCATGGCCCTCTTTCAGAATAATACCCTAACTTAGTTTCATGCACTGGATAGGATGCTATGGATTCATTGATGAGGGGTAGGACTGTTCTGGTCATAGCACACAGGCTTTCAACAGTCAAAAGTGCAGACAGTGTGGCGGTTATATCTGATGGTCAAATAGCTGAGAGTGGCACCCATGAAGAGCTTCTCAGCGAGGATGGTATCTACACTGCCCTTGTGAGGAGGCAACTGCAAGGATAAAACACCAAAATCTAGTTCCAAATGGTCAAACAATGTTCATATATTTATCGTGATTATCCTAAAATATTTTTGTCTTTTAACATACTTCTCGGCTACTTGTCAAATGTTACAATACCAAAGGGAAATATCTCGTTTATCAGATAGCATGTTTTAGAGGAAACAAGCAAATAATTCTGAGATGCAAGGAAAAAGAATGTCCGCATTCTGCAGAATACATTTTCAACAAAAAGTTGTTTTATATAACCATCCTGGTTCCTTGAAACAAATCATTGCATCCGGGGACTCGGATGGAAATTTGATTTGTATATAGATATATAATCTCAGCTCCTCAACCCAAAAACAATTTCATCACCAAGAAATATGAGTTCCCAGTGAAGAACTGGGGCATAGGGCTAAGAATTGAACTTTACAAGGAGCTTGCCATTGCATGAAAATAATGATCCAACAAGCTTCAAAAAACACCAAACCACAAGACCTCACCAACCCAGAAAAAGTGAATCATGCTTACTCCCATTTGACCTTGCTTTTCATCTAAAGAGGCATTGAACATGACAACTTATTAAATACCATTCTTTTCAATGCTTAGCTTTTAGAATAAAAATTCTACAGTATGCTTGTCTTTTTTATGCTTAAGCTAACCTCTTGCATGGTCAATTTCAATTATTTGACTCGAAGGGTGAAATGAATTGTTTGCATCTTTTTATTATTATTGTTGTTGTTGTTGTTAATAAGAAAAAGCCTCATGAAACGTGCCATAAAACCAACAATACACTAGAATCAAAATAATAATTACCTCTGAAATTAGCCGTGTTATGACCCCCATGAAGTTTTAAAAAGACTAACCAGCAACTACTTTCCCAAAACAATTCCCAACGCTCCAATTCCCCAATTTCTTGTTTTATCCCATGGGGAAGAATCAGAAGTTGGATTGGACCTCAAGCTCCAACTCCCATTCAGGCAGTGAAAGAGTCCCTCTTTTGTCCAAGGAAGTTTGTTTTCTTATTCACTCATATATACATGCTAACGTGCATATATAATACTGTTTGGTTTTGCATTTTGTTTTCCGGGATTCTTGTAACGTCCTTGTTAACTTTCTACCCCTTTTTAATGTTCAATTCTAAAACACCTGCATTTTTTGTATCAGTGTGTTCCAATGCATGAATATGATGTAGTATCTTGATTTATAATTCATGCAAGGTTTTTCTTTCTTGAACCCTTCTGTTTTCTCTATAT